AAAAACCAATGTGTTATCTCGTTTGATCTTGATATTTTAGACTGACCGGGGGCCGTATTTCTACAGAAGGAGTTTAAATCTTTCTGTGCTATAAATTCTCTACGCGGGCGTGTGATATCACTGTTCAAAATCAAAACTGACATAGCTAACCACGAGATTCAGGTGGCCAGGTAGCGAGAGGTTTAGTCAACTTTAAGACCCAAATAACCGATTGGTGGCAAGACAACCCCGATGTATGATACTGGCCCAGACTTTGAGATGAAGTCGTCTGTATCTGTAGAAGCTGATATCACAATGCACATGAATGATGAGGACAAACCAGATCTATGTACATCTAGGATGTGACCAATAAAATATATAAATATATTTATCTGCACGTTTGGTTTAATCAAAAAATTTTAAATCTAATATGGCGTCTACTTTCAATCCTCGATCCTTGTATGTATTACATTCTGTTTTAGTAGCCCTGTATGCCATCATAAGATCGGTTTCAGCTTGTGTGGGCGGTTGTCGGAGGGCTCCCCTATTTGCTGTTGTCAATGGATTAAATTGGTCACGCATATATGTGCAAAGTAAATCACGGCTGCTTTTTACATAATCTGCAATCAGCTCAATCAATGGATGATTAGCATTAATCTTAGGGCCTTTAGAACGCTTAATCCATGTGTCGACGCCGTCCAGTTGAACCTGCCCAGCCAATCTCCGCCACTCTTTCAAGAATTGCACGTACATGTACGCAATCCACATGGCTGTGGCACGAAAAAAATCTTTTGTCTGTGCAGCGGTCAATCCTATAGGGTATTTGAAGAAAGAGTCTTCCACTGATAGTCTCACAATCAAATCACCTGTGTCGGAGACCTTTCCTACCAATAACATACACAATACATTCATTATGCCTGAGCATATAGAGCGAGTACGTACACATCATCTGTATATTAGACTTCATTTTATTTTTATCATTCCCTATATGCGTTTTCCAAATCTACTTTTCTACGTGCCTGATGTCCTGTAGCCCGCTGTGTATATGCGTGAGGACCGAAGTATTGCTTGATCGCTTGGTATTTTCACATTTACCCGTTGTTAGAGAAAATCTCGTTCCACACACGTAAGAACGAGATTAATTAATACAGCAGACGCGCCGTTCATAACGACACTCCTGACCGAGTTCACTTATTTCAGACTTAACGCTCTCATGGAACGAGGTTTTCTCTATCAACGGGCAATTGTTAAAATAACCGTATTTATGGTTTTCTTCTACTAGGGATAATAATATTTATTTCAAAAATGGCAAGTATGTATGATACAATGTATGAACATATGGTATGGCTATCATAGTCGCTGTAGTGGTTCAGGAATGATTGATGGGAAGAAGTGGTCAGTAAATTACCGTTTGAAGCTTGGACCAAATGAGTCGACAATGGAAGATATGTGCTTGAGTCAATTCGGGCCGGTGTTGCATATATTTGCTTGCTGACCTACTAAGTAGAGTACCCACCTCTGTGGTACGGATCGGGTCTGCGCCGTGTAGTGCCGCGGAATGGGCTAGTGCAGAGTACGAAATACCGAGAAGGACCAGGTTATCCGTCATAATCTGGTCGAGAAG